CAAATATCGCTTGCATAAAAAATAAAAAATAAAGACTTTTTTTTTGGTATTTCGAATGTTTTACCATTTTATGCATGCATGTTCAATTCCCCCTCACCCACAATTTCCCAATATCGCTTGTATAAAAAAAATGACTTTTTTTTGTTGTTGTTGGTATTTTGAATGTGGCAAACCATTTCTTAACTAGCCAGGAGACATCAAATAATTTTAGTCAAATATTGGTTCCCTCTTCCTCTAAATAATTCAATCTCATTAAAAAAAAAGTATTCAAATGAATTTAGTCCAAACTAAAAAGAGTTAACATAGACACTTCCTGAGATTTATTCACAAATTTATGAGATTTCACCAACATTCTATTTCAAATTGATTTTCCCCCCCTTTTTCTGGGTACTATGGAGACCCCAAAAGGTCTAAAAGAACAGATAAAAGAGCATATCCACCAAAGCTAATTCAATTTTTGGTTAAATTTGATTTCAAGTGACAGAAAAAATATTTATTAGTTGGGTCACTTTAATTGAATGCGACTCTATCAATATTTTTTTAGTTGAGTTATTTATAAAATCCCTTGAGATTTTGGAACTTATACTAACAACTCCTAAGGTTTCAAATTGATTTCACAAAACCGATTTTGTTCGTTTTCCACTTAAAAAATTGTTGATATCATAAAAAAAAAATGCTCTAAGTGTGTCAATGTTCTTTTGGGACCTTTTGCAAATGACCAACTAGTTTAGTGGTTTGGAGCAACTGCTCCTTCGGGAAAGATTTTGGGTTCGAGTCTTAGCATTCGTGTAGTGTGTTTGAGTTTAGTATACTATCATTCATTTCAATATGAAATGTCATAAATAAATAAAAACAAAAAAAAAAGAATAAGAAAAAGAAAAAAAAGGAAAGAGAAACAAAAAAGAAAAAAAAGAAACTTATTAATGAGTGGCTTGCGAAGTTACGTGTGCTCACTAGTGACTATTAACAACACAAGCAGACAAAAAGCCGTTGTATTATAATAACTAGAAAACTCTCTCAAATAAAAAAAAACTAGAAAACAGATATAATCCACAAGTTAATCAAATAATTATAGTGAGAGAGAGAAAGAGAGAGAGAGAGAGAGAGAGAGAGAGAGAGACAGAGAGAGTTTTATCTTTCCTTGATCAAAAAGAGAGAGAGACAGAGAGAGAATACAATTTACAAAGAAAGGGGGAGATGCCAAAAACAAGCGTCAGCACCTGTAAAGCGTAATTTATTAATTATTAATAATATTCTAGAAAAAGCGTCACGCACTTCAAGGTCGTTGAAACCAACAAGACAACGAAAAACCCAAATCATATATCACTGTATATATATAAATACACTTCGCTTCCTTCTCTCTCCATTTTACCATTTTACTTTTAGAAACCAAATAGCTTCCTTGCTGCTTGGTCTTCCGAATTCCAATGGCGCTTTCCAGAAAACTTTTTCAGCACCGGAGCTCCGTATCCGTCTTTGGAGCCCGATCCATGTCGTGGTGGCGGAGCGTGGAGCCAGCTCCAAAGGATCCGATTCTCGGCGTCACAGAGGCCTTCCTCGCCGATCCCAGTCCCGAAAAAATCAATGTTGGAGTTGTGAGTATCTGTTCTGCCTTTGATCTAATCTAACATTACCTTCTGAATCATGAGCTTTAAGCTTTTGAAAATATTGTATTCTTTTGGATCCTCATTTCTTCTTTATTTTCCTTCTTCTTCCACTCGACGAGTTAGCTATACAGTATAGAGTGGAAGTGTTCAGTTTTATTTTAATTATGTTTTTCTTCTCTCTTCTTGTCCTGGAAATTGAGTACTTTTTTGGTATGAAACCGGACCTGGAAATGAATAAAACAGTAACTTTCTCTGAAGCCAAACAGGAACCAAATCAAGGGGAAAAGGAAAAGCTAAGAATAATATTCTTTTCCTTTTTAAATTTTTTTAAAATGTCTTATTTCTGTTTTTTTTATCTGGTGCTTCGTTGGCGAGCTTTTGTTGGCTCCCAAAGGACAAATATGTTCTAATTGAATGTTTTTATAGTAATTTTTATTCTGACGCATTTTTTGTAATACATTAACAATAGCTAAACAGTTATGAATATGATGGTTTTTCTATGGCTATGTTATTTTATTCATCTGCTTGATTTATTTATTTATTTTATACATATTTATTTTCGAATTTATTGTTTTATTGATTAAAGGGTGCGTACCGAGATGATAAGGGCAAGCCAGTTGTTCTCGAATGCGTCAGAGAAGCAGAGCGGAGAATTGCGGGAAACTTGAACATGTAAGTGGGTATATTTTTCTGAAGTTCAGAACCACTATTGTTATTAATTGATTGATTGCTTTCCTTATATGCATCGTCTCATTTTAGATTTTGCATTTTTGTAATGGGAGCTGTGACATGTGACATTTTTTTTGGAGAATGCTAATAGTAATAGTGTTTTGCAACTTGCTACTTTTGCAGTGGTCCCTTTAAGTTAGCTTTTATATTGCCCAATGCCCACTAGGGCCACAAACATATTTGATTCTTTTGTCACACGTACTCTGGAGTCATGATACTGCTCCTACTCTTGAGAATATTTTTCTTTTTCACTCTTTGCATTTGGATATTGATTCTTAACTTTATTCTCTGTCTTGATCATTCGAGTAGATTTATTTATTTTCGGGGAGTGGTGGGGCTTTGATAGTTTTTGGGTTTTTGATATAGTGCTAGCAATTGGCAACTTTAGAACCATGTTGTACACTCCACGCTGGGACTTATTGTCTTGATGATAGCCAGGTCGTGGTGAAGGGTAATCTTTATCTGTTGATTGTAACCGTGACTCTGCAATTTGAGTTTCCTAATGTTGAGTTTGGTACTTCATAATTGGAATTGGATTGAGTTTGTAGGATGTTAGGAGGAGTATGTTAGCAGCAGTGAAGGTTCATGTATTCATTTTCAGTTGTTGTGAGAGATAGAGGAAGAATAAGTAGATAGATTCCTTCAATCTCTCTTGTTCATAGACACTATAAACTACAACTCTTCTTATACTTCAGAAACACCCATGCTAGATAAGTTAATGCGGAAAATTTTGTGCAAACCAGCTACTAAGGACTGGAATATTGCGTATGCATCTTTACAATTAGAACTAAAAACCAAACCTTCCACTGTATCATATAAGTTCTCTTAGTTTCTTAATTTTTTCCTAGCACTAATGTATGCAATTTACAATTGGTTTGTTCTTGCCAGGGAGTATCTTCCTATGGGAGGAAGTGTGAACATGGTTGAAGAAACATTGAAGCTGGCCTATGGGGAGAATTCTGAGCTCATTAAAGATAAAAGGATAGCAGCAGTGCAAGCTCTCTCGGGGACAGGTGCATGCCGTCTTTTCGCAGACTTTCAAAAGCGTTTTTGTCCAGATTCTCAAATCTATATACCAGTGCCTACATGGGCCAAGTGAGCATTGCTTAGAACTTTTGATTCTTAAGAATCTCTCTCTCTCTCTCTCTCTCTCTCTCTCCATTTAAACCGCCAATGTGAACAATTTCTGATGCAAATGGGCTTCCAAAATAAAATTTCAACAGCCATCATAACATCTGGAGAGATGCTCATGTCCCTCAAAAGACTTTCCATTACTATCACCCACAGTCTAAGGGGTTGGACTTTGCAGGACTGGTTGACGACATAAAGGTATAGGACTCATTCTTACTTTCAATTTGATTGTTTTAATTATTTCAGCTACGTTCTTGTTTTAAAACAATTAATCTACCATATTAAGCTTTCCATGTAGATATAATTTGTTTTTACTCTTTGCCCTCTACATTCTCTTCACTGACACCCTGTTCCTTCCCCTGCAAACTGGGCATCAATGTTTTGTATAGAATGCTCCAAATGGCTCGTTCTTTCTGCTTCATGCGTGTGCTCACAATCCTACTGGAGTGGATCCTTCAGAGGAACAATGGAAAGAGATCTCAAAAAAGATTAAGGTAAATTTCGCAGAATATTTTCCTTATGTTTTTTCTTCTTTTACCCCTAATACCTTTCATTACTCTTGGGTTGATTTTGATTTTGTGATTGGTTCAGGAAAAGGGCCATTTTCCTTTCTTTGACATGGCATATCAAGGTTTTGCTAGTGGTGACCCAGAGAGAGATGCGAAAGCCATCAGGATTTTTCTTGAGGATGGCCATCTACTTGGAATTGCCCAATCATATGCCAAAAATATGGGACTTTATGGCCAGAGAGTAGGATGTCTTAGGTAATTGTGTGTTGTCAAATACGGTTTCAATTTAATTTGGCATTTTTAATACTTCTGTTTATTATTTCAATCTTAATGAGAGTAGCAACTGCATGCTTCTTCTTGTTCTATCTGTCATCTCTATAACCCATGGCTAAACATTAACTACATGTTCAATTGGCAATTCTGTAAAAAATGGCATAAACATAGGACATTGTTTATATATTGTAGTGTATACAACCTGTACATTTGATGCATAAATGATTATACGCATTTTATGTTATGACCAATTGAAATATGAAACTACATGATTTATTTTCATGTATCACTTTGCTCAATGCCAAAATGGTTTTATCAAAATCGCTGTACTGCATGCTTTATAAGTGTTTGAATACTCTTGTCTGGGCTTCAGCCTTCACCTGTTCATGCCTTTAACATTGTTATCTACATATGAAGGGGACATATGTTATGTATGATAGGTGAGCATTCTGAATCTCTCAGGTACTGTAAGCTGCACTCATGGTTAATATGACACTTTAATTTTCCTCCTTTAAATGGTTGCGCCTAGTCTCATCTCATACCATACTTGCTACTGGTCTTTAGGAAAATTTTGTATCATAGGGCTTATATGTCAACTCCACTTATAAAGTAGACTAAGAAAGCAGAGGGTCTTTTGGTACATCTTTTATGCTGATGTTGCTCTTTATGTTTGCAGCGTGCTTTGTGAGGATGAAAAACAGGCAGTGGCTGTAAAAAGCCAGTTGCAGATGCTTGCCAGACCCATGTATAGTAATCCACCTGTTCATGGAGCGCTTATAGTTTCAACGATCCTTGGTGATCCGGACTTGAAGAAGTTATGGCTCAAGGAAGTTAAGGTAATTCATCATCCTTTGCTTCTTTCTTTAGTTAATCTTTTAAATCTCATTTTAAGCTGGATAGATATCTTTTCTACTCTTTACCATAAATACAAAGGCCTGACTGTTGTTTAATATTAATTATTTTTGGAAGGAGTTGTATCTTTGTTTCTTGATCATCTGATGTTTATGTCCTTCGTCATTCTTCTCTCCAGGGCATGGCAGATCGCATCATTGGAATGCGAACTGCTCTACGAGAGAACCTTGAGAAACTTGGGTCACCCTTATCATGGGAGCACATAACTAATCAGGTTTGGTAGATTCTTTCTAATCCATTATCTATGAAGCACAGACAGGAGGCTTGGACACATGTCCACATAATAAATGGTTCCTTGAGGAAAAATTATATTCCTCAAAATAAGATTTTCTTTCTTGATGGAGAAAAGGACTTGGAAGTGTGCGAAATTGCAACTATTTGAACCTGAATGATTACGTAATAGCAATGTTCTACTTCTATATTATAAAAATATTGTTTACTGTTATGTCCATGCCCTAAATTCTTGGTATTTTCTTCATTTGATAATGATCGAGAACGCTAAACAAAACAATACCAACAATTTAGGGCCCTGGACATAACAGTAGACTACAATTTTCTTTTGGGGTATTTTCTGTGTCAATGTTCATGTGTTTTACCTAGGGATCCTTGTCTGTGCTACATAGTCTGTTAATTTGTATTGCTTGGCCGCGTTTGATCTCCACCTTGTTTTCTGGTCTATGTTATTTAAAAATCTTGTTGATTCTTGCAAACAGATTGGTATGTTTTGCTATAGTGGAATGACACCTGAACAGGTTGATCGCTTGACAAATGAATTTCATATCTATATGACTCGCAATGGTCGAATAAGGTTCTCTCTCTCTCTCTCTCTCTCTCTCTCTCACACACACACACACACAATCATATGCGTGCTGCATTCTCTAGTTCAATATGTCTCACGTATGGTATTTATATGCATACAGTATGGCGGGTGTTACAACTGGTAATGTTGGATATTTGGCAAATGCTGTACATGAAGTCACAAAATCAGCTTAGAGATCCAGTCATAGGTCACATACTCCTCAACAGGATATACGAACTTTAGCAGATACTGATTTTCATATCTTTTTCATCTCCTTATGATAGAGATAAGGAAGGAGAAATAAACTACAACCACCATTGATGCGCTCTTCTCAGTTTCTTCCTCCATTTTTTTATTGTACCGGAGGGTAGTTTTTATCTGGGTTACACATTAAGTCCTGTAATTCAAGAAGCACAAAATAAAGAGCGACATTTTATCCATATCATTTGTAGTCTGATTCCTGGATTTTGCCTTCACCAATAAATTAGGTCTGAAGCATTTTGTTAACAAAATGTCAAAATGTCATAAGGAATAAAGATTTATAAGCAATTTGCATGCTTTGGTCAGCAAATTGACAAATTAGTATATGAATGGTGGCTAATCATTTCTCCAATACAAGTTAGTTAATTTCCACCAAGCAGCTGTGTGACTACCAATTGCACAGATACCACCTCCAAACACTAAGCAAGAATATTGTATTACATGATGCTCAAGCTCAAGCTCAAGCTCTGCACTGTCAAACATACTTCGAGGCAGGACCACAACAAACACTAGATTTGAATGCATTATGCACTTGGTTTCCTTTAATCCTAGCAATCAAAACGATGCACAGATGCAGGAAGATGATAATTTTCCGCTAAACTGGCATAGTAGACGGGATCAACCATTTCCAGGTTAAGCCAGAGAGCAGCAGATTAGGCTAAAATGCTGAGTGAGTGTTATATAAGGCCACAAAGAGGCCATCGTGTGCTTCACATCCATCCACTAGTACAGGAAATTCCTTGTTTCATGACTTTACATTCAAGTACCAACTGGGTGTGGGAATCCAAGACCAGTCTGCTGCCGCATATGCTCTTGTATGAGCCTGTTGATCAGTTCCGGTGAAGCTCCGTTTAACTGCAAATCAATTTTGGAGGCAGAGTTGGGGGAATAAGTAAATTGAAACTTTTAGGAGTAGAATATGTGATTGCCAAGAAAAAACAACTGAAAATTTTCATCTTATATGCCCCTACTGTACTCTTTCCATGTTATGCAGCCATACTAAACCTAGGTAAATTCGAAGAAATTTCATATAACTCGAGATTTATTTAACAATACATGTACGTAAAAGGGCACGTCCTCTATCACGTTATTACCCGCAAGCACTTAAGTGGCAAAAAGCTCAGCATATCTGAATCAGTCGAGTTATGTGTTGGTCTGCTTTAAGGCGCTAAGATTGATCAAGGGCACCTCTATGGTCCATAAAAGAATCAAGGAAAAATGCATCTAGGGACATGAACAAGCAACAAATACAGATACTTAACACTTGATGTACTTTTATGTTTTGTCATGTGAATGATTAACAGATAAAAAAAAAAAGTTTAAATCTGAAACTCACTTCTTGTTTGAAGTAGAAAACTGGTGACAACAGGCGCCTATTTGGAAGGAGATCATTGGGCTCACGAAGTTAATCAATGAAAGAATGTGTGCATGCTTCTATAAAAGAAGTAAGGAAAAATGCATCTAGGGGCATGAACAAGCAACAAATACAGATACTTAACACATGACGTACTTTTATGTTTTGTCATGTGAATGATTAACAGATAAAAAAAAGTCTAAATCTGAAACTCACTTCTTGTTTGAAGTAGAAAACTGGTGACAACAGGCGCCTATTTGGAAGGAGATCATTGGGCTCACGAAGTTAATCAATGAAAGAATGTGTGCATGCTTCTAGCTGTAATGGGGCGATCAGTGAGAATTTGGATATTATGCATGTCATGAAGTGGAAGTATCAAACTCAAGCAGCTCAGCACCAAAATGAAACTTGCCAAATAGAGCCAACTCATCTAAAATCTTTATGACAAGGCATAATTGCTTGGGCTTTATCTCGAAACAATAGAAGAGCTCCAGGGGAAGAAAAGTCCAACTCACTGCGGTGCAGAGTGGGAGCATTGTCTGCTTCAGGTGGCAAACCTGAATTAAGGAGCATTACTGCAGATAACTATAGGAATACTGACAAAAAGAAAATAATCCCACAGATACCAGTAAGTGTTTTAATAGTTAATAATTTTATTGTTACAGGTATAGACATGGACAAGAACAGGAGTACGTGTTCAGGACATAAAAGGAAAAGGAAAAAACCACCCAAATTTGTACACAAAAGGTTTCCTTGCGCACAGAACATAGACAAATATGTAAGTATGCGCATGTACATGTGCCCATGTGCGAATATAAAGTCTGCCCTCTATAACTATAAGCAGCCCTGAGAACCAACTTATTCGAAGGGTTATAATCAAAATGCATACCTTATGCCAAGGACGAGCTTTAATATGAAGGAACCTAAAATCTGTATGATTTGGAATCCATGCATCAAATTTCTTGTCTAGTTGCAGTGCCAAGAACCTGCAAGAAGACACCTAAACTGTATGCACACACGTTTACATGATCCACTTAGTTCAGCAGCGATAGTGAGGCTTGACCTTGATAATCTCTACAAGTTGGTCCACTGCATCCTCTCCTGGAAACAATGGCTGTAGAAGACTTTGAACTGTTTTGATCAGTCAAAGAGTAAATATTCTTTAACCCAAGTTAACTTAGGTCAACAATAAGCCAAAGCAGTCGATAACCTGGCCCAGAAGAAGCTCAGCAAGTACACAACCAGCTGCCCAGATATTAATGGGTGTTGAATATTCTTTGCACCAAAGATTAGTTCAGGAGCCTGATAGCGACGAGAACATATGTTTGAAATGTTTGCTTCTCTCTCGACCCTGATTAGCAAGAAAATCATTGAAATGAAATCATACAAGGAAACTGATTTTCTTAGGAACATAGCAACTCTATTAGCATGAAGCCTTTAAAAAGAAAGGTGGTTGACGTATAGACAGACATTAACTCAGACAAGTACTAATATCTTGTGTTGAAGCCATGCATTAATTTTCATCAAATCGACAGGTGATTGACTATTGGTTTATCAACAAGAAAAGATTATCCATCATAAAAGCAACTGGTCATTCTGCCTCTAAGTTCTAAAACGTAGTGTTATGACATGATTGAATGCAAGTGTAAAATGTCATGAAGACAAACACACCAGAACTTTTTCACTTCCGAAATCACAAAGCTTCACCTGGTGGTTGAGGGGATCAACCTGCCAAGTATTTATAAAACCTCCTCCCATAAAGCTTGCGCCAGATTACCAGTAATTGCCACAAGAGCATTCACCATTCCTAAAATGATGAAACCTCTTTGCATCCCTCACAATTATGTCTCTTCCAACCACTCTTGACATAAACTTAATTGCAGTATGGCAATCCCCACAAATCCTAAGATTCTTAAAAACTCTGATTGTGGCTCCGAGAGGAAGCCTCATGAGCCCAAATGCAACTGCAAGCTTCTCACTGTGAGTAGACAAGGAATACTCCTTATGCTCAGACTCCATATCATGCAACACAAACTTTGTGTCAGGGAGATATCCTAACTTCCTCATTTCAAGTCCTAGTTGCTCAAGATATTTGTACACGGCTTGGACCTCAGGGTGCACAGTATCACCAACTAAGAAGACGTGGACCATGTTTTCAACGTCAATCCAACTACAACCAGGCTCTTTCTTAACCCCTCGATCTCTCATTAGTTGCCGCACCTTAGCCACATCATCCCAACGGCCTATAGCGGCATACAGGTTTGACAAAAGAATGTAAGTTCCATCATGTTGTGGCACCAACTCAAAGAGTCGTTCTGCTGCTTGAATTCCTAAATCCATATTCCCATGAGTCCGACAACCAGCAAGAAGAGCCTCCCAAATCGGTGCACCTGGCTCAAAAGGCATCGATTCAATCAAGCCCTTGGCTTCTGTGAACTCCCCACATCGACACAACAGATCAATCATGCGAGCATAATGGCCTTCATCAGGGCTAATACCATAAGAGACACACATTGAATTAAAATAATGGCGCCCTTCCTTGACTAAACCAGCATGACTACAAGCTGATAGAATGATGAGGAAAGTTATTCTATCTGGTAGTATATCTGCCTTCAACATTTTTTCAAAAAGATCTATTGCTTGAACACCATGTCCATGTTGTGCCAGAGCTGCAATCATAGCATTCCAAGACACTGAATCAATATAAGGCATGGTAAGAAACACAGAGTTCGCATCCTCGAAAACTCCGCATCTTGCATACATTGTGATAAGTGCATTTGCAGCTGAAAGGCTTGAATCAAACCCCAATCTAATTAGTTGAGCATGGAGCTGGCGTCCATGCTCCAATGCTCCGAGCGCAGCACAAGATGTAATTGCTCCAGAAAATGCATAATCACACGGTTCAAAACCTTCTAATCGCATTTGGTTGAATAGCTTCATTGCTTCTTCTCCAAATCCATTTTGAGCTAAACCAGATATCATCACAGTCCATGTCAAAATGCTCCTCTCTGGCATTTCCTTAAAAAAGGATTTTGCTTCCTGGATTCGCCCTGCATTTGCATACCCCGAAAGGATTGCATTCCAAGAAACAAGATCTTTAACAGGCATATTATTAAAAATATACCGTGCTTCATCAAGTTTACCACATTTGTAATATAGTGTAAGCAATGTATTGTTCACAGATAATGAAAAATCCACAGTAGGCTTCGCTTCAGTTCTAAGTATGTAAGCATGCACCTGCTTCCCAAGCTGAAATAGTCCATTATTAGCGCAAGTACTAATAACACTAGTGTATGTAAATTCATCCTGATGAATCCCCAGTAACCGCATTTTCCTAAACAATAGCAATGCTTCTTGAAAAGAATTGTGGTGAGCATAACCCGAAATCATCGCATTCCATACAACTTCCATCCTTTCATCCATCCCATCTAGCAATTCCCGAGCTGCATGAAGATCTTCATTCCTTATGTACCCAGTAATCATCGTTGTCCATGATAGTTCATCTCTCTCAGGCATCTCATTAAACAAATTCCTAGCTTCACCCATCAATGATGAAGATGATGATACTAATGGTGAAGAAGCACATCTAACATAAACAGATAACAGCGCATTCCACACCGAAGTGGCAAACCCTGTTCCTGACTTCACTACTGCACAATGTAGTTGCTGGCACTGCTTTTCAACATCCACTATCTGCGCCGCACCACTCAATACAGTCGTATATGTGAAATCGTCAGGCCTAAAACCACCTTGCCTCATCTCACAAAATAGTCTAATAGAGGCATGGCCATCATTGTTACGAGAATAGCCTGTGATCATCGCATTGTAACAAACAGTGTCTCGCATGCTCAATGGAGTTTCATTGAATATCTTCCGAGCCAGCGTTAGATTCCCAATGGCAGAGTACGCCGTAATCAAGGTGGTTCTAGCAACAATGTCTGGTTTTGGAATTTGATCGAACAGTTGGTGGGCATAACTAAAATTTGAAGATTTACAGTAGACATCAATCAAGCGGTTAAGGATATGGCCACGTGGTTTGAACCCAGAAGCTATCATGTGGGCATGGGTCGTTCGAGCTATAGAGTATGAGACGGGGCTTTGAGGGCAGCATAGCTGCAGTTGGGCTGCGTAACGGTGAGCCACTGTAAAGAAGATGAAGCGATTGAAAGCGAGGCAGAGAGCAAAAGATGGGAAAGCGGGCAAAATTGAAATGGGATTCTCCTTTATTTTTTATTTGGGCACACAAACATAAAGGATTCTCGGACGTGGGAAGGAATTCCTATATATTTGCCTTTATTTGCCCCCAAAAACATTTTTTATGTCTTTTTTCTTTTTTGTCGTAAGATTGTCCTTAAGATTTTGGAGGCATGCTTAGATGGGGACAAATAGTGTGATGTTACGAAAGTGATTAAGAGTATTTACCTATACACTCCAGATTTTAGATTCGATTTCCCCATCCCAATATCACTTGTATCAAAAACAAAAGTAAAGAGGGAGTAGTTTAGAGAAAAAAATAAGAGCTTAAAAACAATTCAAGGGGTTGTTGTCCATCTCCTTTCATCCAAATGCACTTTGAAAAGTAGTCGAAGTGTTCGGGTGGACAACTTCAAAACCATTAAGACATTTTAGTTTTGATTAACAAAATAAATAAACCGGGTATTTCAAGAAAACACTAAAATGACAGTTATTTAATTGAATAGTTATATGATTTTTGAATTCAAGTGAATTTTTTGTAGAGATGATATCTAAGAGAATACTAAAAAATAAACGGTTCAGATCATTATAATACAATACCTATGTTCAGTCTAGATATCATATAAATACAATATCTTATGATACATACAATCTCAATCTGAGTGGTGGTAAGTCATTGTCAGCAATGCAAGTCTCAATGAGGTCACCATGGTCAATGTGGTTAAACCATCTCCCAAACCTGACCTTCACTTAATGACCCTGGTTTATTATATAATCAAATCAATAAGATTCAAAGTAGGCTCATATGCGTACAACTAAGACATTGCTACATTAATGTGATCCAAAATTTTAAGGGCTTCGATGATGGCATTACTACTAAAATTTACACCAAGCAGTAATTTTCTGTTACCAACCCCATAGATACCAACTTCAAACACTGAGCAAGAATGTTCTATTAAATTATGAAGCTCAAACCTCTGCCCCATTAAACAGCAGAGATTTGAAATTATCCAGAAGAAGGCAGTATCGAAGAAATTAAAAAAAATACAGAAATCAACAATAGCAAAATATAATTCGAGACAAGACAGCAACAGACAGCAGAAACAACACCATAATTAAAAGGTAAACGACAAGCCGCACTACTATTATGCCCCTCGGAGCACTGCTGGACTTTTACAGCCCCTACCCTAGCTAGATTTGAATAAACTTATATACTTGGCTTTCTGGAATCATTACAATCAAAACGATGTACAGATGCAGGAAGACAGTATGTTTGGGCTAAAATGACATAGAAGACAGGATCAACAATTTCCAGGTTAAGCTGGAGAGCCACTATATGTATACATCATCGGAGGGGAGGGCGAGAACAGCAGGTTAGGCCAGAATGCTCCGTGTTATATAGACCACAAAGAGGCCCTCTTTTGCTTCACATCCATCCACTAGTAGAAGAGATAATTCCTTGTTTCATGACTTTACATTCAAGTACCAACTGGGTGTGGGAATCCAAGACCAGTCTGCTGCCGCATATGCTCTGGTATGAGCCTGTTGATCAGTTCAGGTGATGCTCCACTCAACTGCAAGTCAATTTTCGAAGCAGTGGTGAGAGGGATGAGTCAATTAAAACTTCCGAGAGTAGAAAATGTGTTCGCTAAGAAAAACAGCTAAAAAATTTCACTTCAACTTGTCGATGGCAAAGAAAATGACAAGAAATGTATATATGTTATCCTATGCTTGTCGAACTGGTACCTAATTCTTCCAGGTTATGAAACAGGACTCAACCTAGGAAAATGGTATATTTGACCTTCATGGTACTGAAAATTTGAAGAAATCCAAATAACTCAGGACTTATTCAACCAGACAAGATATCACGTAATTTCTCTCACACCAGGTGGCTATTAGCCACTCTTCAAAGACGAGCAGAATGAATCAACATCATGTTCACAAGTGGCAAGTTAAAGTGCCGAAAGGCCCAGCACATCTGAATCAGTGGCATTGACTATTGGTCTACCTCAAGGTGTCAAGATTGATAACAGGTAAAAATAAATAAATCTGAAACTCACTTCTTGTTTGAAGTTGAAAAGTGGTGGCAGTGGGCGACCATTTGGAAGGCGAGCATTGGGCTCCCGAAGTTCATCAAAGAAAGGATGTGTGCATGCTTCTAGCTGTAATTGGGCAATCAGTGAGAACTTAGATATTATGCATGTCACGGAGTGAAACTACCCAAAATTGACAAATAAATATTTCCATCCCTACAGCTAAGTGCAAAACTTGCAGCTCAGCACCAAAATGATAGATTCTAAACAGAGGCAGCTCTGCTCTAATGTTTATTCAAAACTACATCCCAAAGCATGATGTCTTGGGCTTTATCTTGAAACAATAGAAGTACTCCATGCGAAGGGAGTCCTACTCACCGCAGTGCAACGTAGACTCGGCGAATATTGAAGAAGTCGTGAGGCAAGGTCAATTGCTTCAGGCGGCATTCGCTTGTGGAAAACCTGAATAAAGGAACATTGGAGCAGATGCATAAACTATAATAATCCCGCATATAACAGGCTATAATCCTAGTGTAAACATAATTAATAGTGTTATTGGTCAGCACAGCTAAGTATGGACAAGTACTCCATGCGAAGAGTACGCTCAGGAAATAAAAGGAAAATCCCAGGAAATTTTTGGACAAAAGGTGTCCAGAACATAAGACATGAACGTATCTGTACATTATGCCCATGTGCGAATTATGTTATAACACCTTCCTCTATACGCAGCCCTTAGGATCAACTTACTTTAAGGGTTATAATCTAAATGCATACCTTATGCCAAGGATGAGCTTTAATCTGAGGGAACCTAAAATCTGTGTAGTTCGGATTCATGCATCGAATTTCTTCTCTAGTTGGAGTGCCAAGAACCTGCAATAAGACATTGACAGTGTAAGCACACGCACTTGCATGCTCCACTTAATTCAACAGAGAAAGCGAGGCTAGACCTTGATAATCTCTACAAGTTGGTCCACTGCATTCTCTCCTGGAAACAATGGCTGTAGAAGAGCGGGAAATTCTTTTGATAAGTCAAAAACCAAATATAGTCTAACCAAAAAACATAGGCCAAGAACAAGAATATTATTTACAAAGAGTCGATAACCTGGCCTAGAAGGAGCTCAGCAAGGACACAACCAGCTGACCAGATGTCAATGGATGTTGTATATTCTGTTGCACCAAAGATGAGTTCAGGAGCCCGATAGTAACGAGAACATATGTACGATATATTTGCTTCCCCCTTGACCTGATAGAAAGAAAAACAAAAATATTAAACTGAAATATAAAAGGAAACTGATTTTCTTAGCAACATAGAAACTGCATTAGCATTTAGCAGACAAGGTCATTTAAGTATAGCCAGACTGGCAATAACATCTTGCTTTGAAATCATGCATTAGTTTTCATCCAATAGGCAGTTGATTAATTATTGGTTTATTAAGAAGTATAGATTAACAACCATCAAAGAAATCGTCATTCGGCCATCAAAATTCCAAAAAAAAAAAAAATGGTGTGATAATTGAATAAAAGTAAAGTGTTAAATTATGTGAGGAAAAACATACCAGAACTTTTGCACTTCCGAAGTCACAAAGCTTAACCTGATGGGTGAGGGGATCAACCTGCCAAGTATATTGGAAAATGGGGGATAAATAATCCAATTCATTTTAGAGAGAACAAACACAATAAACAAAAAACACATACCAAAAGATTTTGAGGCTTCACATCTCTATGGCAAACACCAGGAACAGCATGAATATAAGCCAGGCCCCTAAAAATCTGAAAAGGGTTTTTTTTTCTTTTCCATTTATTATAAGGGCATAAGCCAATATAAATGATTACCAACAATAAGTTAACTAACACAAAACGAAAAAGGATTCATACTTGATATGTATAAAGTTTCACATAGATTAGTGGCATCCTTTGGTTCATACTACTGTAGTGCTTCAGAACCCTGTACATAGTCTCGGGTACATATTCCATAACAAGATTCAAGAAAAGCTCATCTTTACTTGTTGTAGAGAAGAAACAATGCTTCAGGGAAACAACATTTGGGTGATCCATCAAGCGCATCAACTGCAACTCACGATTTTTATACCTCCTGTCCTGCAAGACCTTCTTTATGGCCACCGTTTCTCCAGTTTCAATGCATTTAGCCTGAAAGGAAAAAGAGTGCCAAAGACTCAAACAAGGAAAAGAAATTGAGAATACTTTGTTCCATTAAGTAAAATCCATACCTGAAAAACGATTCCAAATGATCCAGTACCTACAACACGCTCTGCCATGTAACTGATCGTCTGCAACCAACATCAAAGGAACACCTCAGAAGACAAAAAGAATGGAAAACCAAATAATTCTTCAGAAGATCGATATATCAGAATCATAGGTAAAGGGCCTCAGCTGTTAGCACCTCTTATGACCAAAAGGAGCAGTGTTCATAAAGAATTTATCATCTCTCAAATCAAGTAATCCTTGATTATGAAGGAGAAAAGTGTACAACTTTTTGTGCAATAGATGGAATTAAAGGGGAAGAAGAAAGAGTTTGGTCAAATTGTAGCCATCAAATGGGGTAAAAGAAGAAAGAAAGAACCAGTGCTAACCCGTTTGGGTTCACCATTTTTGCCACCAATGGTTGTTGAAATGATGTGACCGGTGACTGCATCATTTCCCTCAATAACAGGAGCTGACATTTCCTGCAATTTATAGCAACACAACATATAAACATAAGCACAAACTGCAGCCTTTCTTTGAAAAAGTAATGAACTGGTATGTGGGTGCTTGTTGAGGAAACACCTCTGCCTAAATGCAATAGAAACCAGTTGGCCACTTATGAGAGATGCCACCCAGAATAGCCATAAAAGAGTGCAGATGAGCACATGGACAATGCCTCTATGTTATTATACCAATTCTAACATTTATCAATCTTCATTCTTCATCTGAGTTCGGCTCTATTGGTCTACAACTGCCGTCTAGAAACTAAGTGCATGTATCTAATACATAAATCCTATTGTTTGTATGATTGTGTCTTATGCTGCACTACATTCTTTGTGTGGACAAAATATAAAAACATGCAACCCCCTCTATATTAGTGAGAATTTTGAAATTTTTGTGCTTGGAAACCTGTGTCCTACACAAAGTGAAAAATTAGTGTACACTTAACAACAGTCTAAAGCAATCAAATGTTGAATGCATTGATGATAACGAAAGTTAATACATACAAATTTGAAAGAGACTTAACAATACAGCATAACAGACACAAACAGATGGATATTCAGAATGAGATTTGGGAAAGGGGAAAGCACAAAGATCTCAACAGACATTTAAACTAAAGCAAAATCAGGTAACCCTAGTTTACAAGAAAGCATCACATGCTATAAAACTTGCATGTTAAAGAAACTACTGTTAATAAAGAATCAAGGAACATCAACTTCCTGAAGCAAACTAGAATACTTTGAAGAACAATCCACCTAGAGGAAAGAAAAAGAACAAAAAGTTGGCAAAAATTACAACATTATTAAGAAACTGGAAAACCCAAAAGATATCGGATTGACAACAGCCTACCACCAAATGAGTACCAATACAAGCATGAGATCAGAAAAAACCTAGTCAAGAAGCAAAGATAAAAATAAATAAAACATAAAAGAAGAAAGAAAGTTCAGTAGTGTCCAATAAGATTAACCAAAATAATGTAGCGTCAAACTTAAAACAGTAGAGAATTTTTCAAAAATAGATCACATGGGATAGTTGAAAGTTAAAGCGAAAATTGGACAAAAGGGCTAGTATGCAAAAGCAACAAAACGCAATTGCCCAGATTGGCAAAATGGGAAAGTTAGAGCAATCACTAAATTCAGCTCAATTAAGTCTTTTGTATTTCCATTTTAGGTAACAAAACAGCTAATGAACACAAATAAAATTAGCCAACGCCGCATTTTCTATAATTTTCTCCTCCTAATTTTCCTAAAGCAACATGATCTCAGACAAAAATAATAGAGGGAAATAAAAATTAATGCGAAAGAAAAAAAAGTACAAAAAAAAGTTATAAAATCGAAGACGAGCCGGGAGAGAAGTTCCGGCGAGGCGACTCTAACCTCAGAACACAGAGAAAGTTGCAGATCGCTTCTAATTAGTGAGGAAATTGAAGCTTTTAGCTGGATCAAGGTCGATCTATGCACCGAAACCTACCTCTACGAACATGAAGACGAAGACAGAAGAGAGAAGGAGAATCTCTAAGAGAGCAAACAGCAAAGCTCAAAGAGTGGCTGTGAAATGCGAGAGCGAGAGCTAGAGAGAGAGAGAGAGAGAGTACCTTGTCGGAGTCCATTTCGGGGGCTCGGCGAGTCACGTGGTTCAGTGGCTCATTGTGGTCTGGCTGTCGCTGTGGCTGTGCCTCTGCTTGTTGATGCTTTGGCCCCAAAGCCAAAGACCCCATGTGATAGTGAGATTGCGACTCTCTCACACCCCCACCTTCTCTCTTTTTCGCTCTCTAACTCTCTCACACCATCTAGCTCTTGGTCTAATTGTATTTTTCTCCACTTAGTCGAAGGAGTATTAGATTACGAGAATCATATTTGTGATGAGTTCGATATCTCGGTAGTTACTCTAATAAGTATTTTATTTTAATCATTTGTTACATATTTCTAATTTCAGCCGTTGAAAATACTTATTGGAGAATATTTCATAATCTTGTTGTGAATATATTGGCTGGTTCTAAATTATTTTGAGTGCCTTAACCATTTGTAAAAGTATATTGTAAGTATTTTATTGCTTGTAAAATATAAAGGGTCAATACTTTTTTGGTCGGTGAGCTTTGCACGAAAATTTAATTTGGTTAGTGAGAAAAAAAAATTTAGTCAAATTAGTCACTGTGTTTCCCAAAGTTTACAATTTATAGACATTTTGTTATCTTCTGTTAAGTGAAGTTTTTATTTTTATGTTTTCACAAAGCACGTTCAATCTTCTTCCTCTAACTGAACAAGTTAGGGCATATTATGCTATTAGGGTTTAACGAATTGGGGAAAATCTTGGATTGAAATCGGAATTATGAGGTATAACTTATAAGGTCACAGATTGGATGCTATATTGAAGCCTCAATCGATTGAGTGAGAATCGTATTGTGACTTCATATGGCAAGGAGATGCAATTAAGGTGATAGAGCACCAAAATATATTGGTAAGTTGTTAGTTTCATTTTAATTTGGTTTGGCTTTTTTATTTTCCTCGTACCTTACAATTTCGATTTCAACCAAAGATTTCTCCCAATTTGTTAAACCTTAATAGCACAACATACCCTAACTCGTTGAGTTAGAGGAAGAAGAGTGAAGGGACTTCCTAAAAAAACTGCATTTAACTGAAGATAAAAGAATGTCTATAAATTGTAAATTTAGGAAAACACGGTGACCAATTTGGCTAAATCCCAAATTGAATTTTCATGTAAAATCAAAGAACAAAAAAGTATTTAACCCAAATAAAATAAAATAAAATAAAATAAAATAAACTCTAATTTTATTTCCTTATAAAAGGGACCAAGGAGGCAAATTGAGTCTAGCATAATGAAAAAATGCCTTAATTTACATGCTAGTGGTTTTAGATTCGAATTCTCGTAGCACATTGATGCTTTGCAGTCCCGATCTCTTGGACCACATGGGTCCAAGAGATTTGTGGTCACTCACCGTTGGATGTAAATTCAACGGTTCACTCACTCTTGCACTCCTTTTAAGAAACTTTTTTGAACCATTGGATTAATATCCAACGGTAGGTGACCACAATTTCTTGGACTCCTGTGGTCCAAGAGATCAGGACTGTGATACTTTGATAGTGTGTGTAAAAAATAAATTTTGTTTTTAGTTATATAAAATAAAAAACAAAGGAGAGTAAAAGACCCACGCACGCCTAGTTGAGCGTGATCTCACGCTCCCATCAGGCTGCCGGCGAGAATCGAGTGCCTTAGGGTGCAGGGCGAGTGTTGTGGACAGTTGTTGCCAAAACAGAGAGACAAGAATCACATGGGATGGAACACCCCGATGTTTTTACATACTAATAAACCAATGTTTCCTTTTTTTTCTTATTTATTTATTTATTTATTTAATGAAAATAACAAGTTTCATTTCAATCAAAACTAGGAGTACCCAGCACAAAATCATTCATCGTGAATGAAAAGGGAAAGCCAATCCAGTCCCTTTTCAACCCAAATAGTGAAGTTCGTACATGGAACAGCATACTTGGCCAAATGAAGGCGCCAATTGATTATACTTTTGTCTCTGATTAAAAAGACAGAGCGAGATTAGAGACCTCATAAACTTCTGCACAATAGGCAACGCGACATGAACATATACAAAAAAATTAGTAGGCGAATTCAACTTTGACATATCGTGATTCATGTTGATAACTTGTAGATCTATTGGTGACCTTTTAAGAACGAGTTATTTTTCATGTCAATCCGTGAACCTCGTTTGTGACCCGTTGAAAAATAAAATAGTTTCACTTCTTTATGCTAATTATGTACTTAGGATATTTTATGTGGACATTAAATATTCGCGTCGAATGTCCAACATGTGCACTTCCACACTCTCAAGCTCTTAAACACTCACTAGGACCCTCCGCCTAAACTTTTTTTTTTTTTCATAAATAAAAAAAACACTCACTAGGATTGCATTATTAAAAACAGGGTAAATGGTCAATGTACTCCCTAAACTATCACCGAAGTGTCAACTCATCCCTTAAATTTTATTTTGGTAAATTAAGGACTTAAACAATATAAAGTTAGTCAAATTGGTTATTGCCGTTAGATTTTTCAAATTTCATCCAATTTTTCTTTTACATTGTGTTATGGATTGAGCGAAGATAAGTCATAACCTTCTCAAAGTGTAAGATTTGTGAGCCCCGAAGGATGCAAGACAAGAAGGCGCAAGATTAGTTAGCAATCCCATATATATTTCGGAGAGGGAAATTTGAAGTGTCATTATGCATAAGGATAATTCAAAAAGCAGCTTCCGTGTCTTCTTCATATATAATATATGACACCTTATTGAGATATTTGAAAAAGATCAACACTTTACTAATAATTAGAACAATACACCATTGACCGTGCTTCAATTTCATAGCCAATACTTCTCCAATGGGCATGAAAATTTTTACACAAAGATTTGGTGAACTTTAATTTGAATTAGCAGTCTATAAAGGAAACTTATGTCACCCAATATTCATTCATCAATTGCACAAAACTAAATTCCTTATAAAATTAGTTCACTAGTCTGCAATTCTTCCTGATCTCTCCATTTGTCCCAGTTAGAGGACTAATAGCGCCCATCTTCACCATGGCTGCAGCAAAATCTCTCGAAAACGCGGCGGGGTTGTTACTATACGTTGTAACCAAGGCATCCTGACTCCCGCTGTTGAAGAGCTCCTGATCCGAATGAAGAAGGCCACGACGAGCCACGAGGGCCTTGTAGTAATTATTATCGAAACGAGTCGGGGTTATATCGAAGGGAGCAAGATTCGTATCGCCGCCGGAAGCTGGACATGTAGCCTTACGAGTGGTGGCGAAGCTGGGGTCAATGTTGGTCTCGTTGTATATGCGGTTTTTGAAGAGAGAACACTGGGACTGGCCTATTGTGTGGCCACCGGAGAGCGCGGTCAGGTCGCGGGCGGTTAAGCCTTTTGCTGAGAAACCCGAGATTAGGGTTGAGAGGTTGTCGAACGGAGAGGGGAGTTGGTTGTTGGCATCGCTTTGGCTTGCTGTTCTTGCATCTCTTCGGCCTAGGGCTACCGTCCACGAGGTTCCTCCAAGCTGCACAAAGAAACAAAGTATTGAGCATGTGAATATCACGTGATCAAAACAAAAGAAAAGGCAAAAGGGGCCTTTTCCTATAAATGGATAGAATATGTATGATATCTTGGTATGTGGATTGGGTCGTAGAGGGCTTATGTCCATGCAATTTTAAAATGGGTTAATTCAATCATTGACTAATCTGATATTTTAAAATATGTACGTTGCAGGTAAGGTTTTGTCCCCATGCAGGTTGTTGAGTTGGCATGCAGAAAAATCAGACAAGAGACCACGAAAGTCAGAGAAATCATAGAATACTACAATGGTTACGTGGTACATCTTATACACGTGTTATAATATTGGTGAATGGTATGGTTTATTTTTCCCTCTTTTGGAATATAATATCAATAAATATCCACCTATATTATAAATGCACAACATAATTCAAACTCCAAATTAATGTCGACAAAAGAAATTAGGACTACTCCCAAGTGAGATATTTTCTTAAAAATAATAGGAAATTAAATTGTTAGGACCAAAATTAATAGGAAAATGATTGTACCATAGCTTGAAAACCAATCTACCCCAAAATATGGCCAAATTTAATGGTAAATTAATATGCATGGAAAAGCTTGATGCTTCACAAGATGCATATCAGTAGCCTATATTACGTCAAATATTAATATAGTAGCTAGCTACTAACCAAGACAACTCCATCCCGGGATGCGAGTGCTAAAATATCTGCACAAGATACAGTAGCATTACAAGCAGTTTCCACTCGGGTTTTGATGGTGTCAATGACTTCAAAACCCCTGACTGAGTTCTGGTTTGGGAATGCATTCTTTTCACCGGTGAAGGTGGCCGTGTCATCCAGTAGTATGGAACCGTCGCAACCCTATTGAAAATTTGACAAATAATTAACAATCTTTGTCTAAGATAACACATCAGATTGTTTGACATAAGAAAACACTACTGTATTGTTCTCACATTTACAAAGCAGTCGTGGAAGAATAAGCGAAGGATCGAGGCACCCATCCGAGCCTCCGTAGCAACAGCCTGACTCATAGCATTGCGAACGATAGTCGGAAGACTTGGGCAAGTTCTTGCATAGAAGTTGGGAGAGAGTTGTGCATTGGCACAACAACCAAAAAAAGGGATGATGAAGAGTGTAACAACAATGAAGAAGTAGGACAGAGAGGCCATTGTAAGCTTCATCAATATGAAAGCTGAAGAGATGAAGCTGGGCTTTGTGGTAAGGAGAAGGATTGAAGAAGCACTCTATATATAGAGTAAGATTGTGCATGCATGGAATGAGAGATGAGAGGTGATTTTGAAAGTTTTCTGTGAAGGCGTTCCATTTTCAAACTTTGTTGCTTTGACGCGTTTACGATAAGGTGGAGTGGAGGGGACACCATCGGCTCCAAATTCCAATACAAAAAGACAAAGCATATCCAACCAAATAAAGCAAGGTTTGACTTCTGTACACCTTCCCAAATCCATGTAAAACACGAAGAAAAAAAACCAAAGAAGAAGAAGAAGAAAAGATTTGCAAACGAGGTGATCAAATTGGGTCTCAAAACTAAGCAAAATGTGACCTTCTTTCATTCTGATGAGGTGCTGGTTTTGTTTTTAATCAGAAGGGCGTCACTTGTGACCAAAAGAACAAAAAACAAGGGTGACTTATGAAACTATAAGGAAATGGATGACACCCATATCAGCAATTAGCAAGCAAAGAGGATAAGCCAACAAGGGTCCCCCAATAATACATATCGTTCTCACGATTCCCTAGGTATGAGCTTATGAGCTTAGGGAGGGGAAGGAGGGTATATTCTTATACACACGTGGTATCATGAGGGATCGAACCTCAGACTACTAGCTAGCATGTGCATGCCAACAGCTCTACCAGAGAGCTAAGAACCCATTGACATTTGCAATGCCATTTCACATTGCCATATGCAGCCTATGTACAGAGACACGTATGTAGAGTAAGAAAGTATTCAATCGTCTAATTAATTTAATTGACCCTTATTACAAAGCTCCAAAGGGCGGAATCAGGAATTTTTCAACGGATGGGCTAGCTAAAGTTATTAACTTAAAACTTAATGATTATTTTTTTTGGTACTTACAATTTCTATAGTCTTTGTAGAAATAAAAGTAAACATTAAATCATATAAACCACGCTAGTTCATAGCTCCATAAACTAATTTTCAATAAGTTTTAACATAAACCAAATAGGGTTTAACACCATAATGGATTGAACATCTAAGGCTTTTTACCTAGATTGACTTTAGTTCCTTCATGCATTCATATCATACATGAAAAATTGTTTTATGTAAAAATATTGACTAAGTATGAAAAATGGGTTTTCAGAATAATCATTTTTTGAAGATAATTTTTGGCGGCTTTTATTCCTCACACATCAAATAAGAAAACTTGATTTTATGGGATTTTAGTATGAAGTATATATTGACTTAATGAGCCATCATTTGTAGCCTAAATCGTATTTTGTACTAAAACCGATTTTGCATATTTTGATTTGGTGGGAATTTGATTTTCTAGTATTTTTATTTGAATCCAAATGGGGAGTACTTCCTTATTTACATTGTAAACTTAAGTAAATGGAGTAATATAAAAATAAATAAAAGTAAAATGACAAAGACATTTACTTAAATGTTGAAAGTGGAAATAAGGTAATCTGTATACCGACACTGACTGGGCTAATATTGAAAATAAGTTAAATATAAATTATATTTTTTTTTTCTTAAAAAACCACACTGGGCTACACCCCACTGTAGCCCTTAGTGTGGTTCCGCCATGCTCCAAGTATAACCTAAACCTCTCTGATCTTGAGAATTAGGTAGGAAAAGTCTTTGCTGTTTTGTCAACTAGGAAAAAGTCAGGAGACATGCATGCTGTAAAAGTTTGAATGGAATCGCTCTACGTCGACGAAAATAACACTCCCAAGTGGGAGGTACGGGCTACTTTTCTCTTGTGTTCAGTTCAACCAACTCCCGAAAGGGGCCCTTCACAAAAAAATTTAAAAATAATTCTAATAGGAGCTCTCAAGCTGGAACGGGTTAGTTAATAATATCATTTCATATTTATTAATAATTTATTCATTTATTACAGTCATAATTGTCTTGAATTTCATATTTTAAAATGGCTGAATATTAATTAATCTCATCATTTACACTATTAAAAACTCAAAATTTAATAATTTATACTTCAACAAAGAGAACAAATACAAACAATGCTCATAAATCCTAATATTAAAGTGCCCTACTTAGACATGTAAAACTGGGGAGAGGGAAATTCATAAACCTTAAGTTAATCAAAAGTGGAAGAGAAAGAGAACAAAAAAAATGAAAAGAATTTTTACTCCAAAAAGCAAACATATATCAACATATATAAAGTAAAAAATATGAGAAAATAAAAAATATGAGAGAAGGTCTGAGCCTACCTTGGTCCTTAGGTGGCTCCGCCACTGGTGACCTATATTCATATTCGCTACAGACAACCCATGGCCAAAAGGTGTCGGCCACAGAGTGACCATGGTCACGTAATTATGGTAGATGCATGATGCCATTAACTTTTAGGCACAGAAAATGATGTCCATGGCCTATAAGTGGTGGATCTCACCATGCCTTTTTACCCTTGTAAAAATATGCATCCACCAATTAAAATATTAATATTTTTTGAATTTGATACCATCATTACTAAATAATGCTACTATTTCCACCCACCTGTTTTATTTTCTCACCCACCTTATCTTCCCACCCACCATGTAAATTTGAAAAAAAAAACACAATCTTATCTTTCCACCCACCATTATTCCTAAAATACCCTTTAATTATTAATTCAAAGAAAATTCTCTCAAAAAACCCAACTTATATTCGTTTTACTTCCTGACTCGTATTAGGGGAAACTCCCCTTTCTTTTCTCCAAGCCGATTATGGTTCTTTCAAGAGTTCATCCCTCTTTCTCATCCTGGAGGAGATGAAGCATGGGGTTTGTAATGAGAGGGGTTGTGTGCGGTAGAAGAGGGGATTTGGGTATTTATTTTCTTTTAGGTCTTCTTTAATTTCTTATATATTTATTTATGTTAATACATATGTGGTTGAAGAACATGAAGTTGAAGCATGGGTTCGAATGCTTATGGTCCCCAGGCTCCTATCATGTTGATCTCCCTCAATCAAATAATACCAATTGCTTGTTGTTTGAAGCAAATAGACAAAAATTAAACAACTTCATGACATAGAATTTCATGAAATCTTAAAAGCGCAATAGGAGCCTTAAGGGAAAATTAATTTTGCCCACATTTGAAAATGATAGTACCTTTGAGAGAAATCAGATTTATGATGGAAAAATAGTAAAACTTTTGGAAGGTTTTAGAAAATAGAGAGATGGCTAGATGAGGAAGAAGAAGTTGTGTGCAATATGCGGGTCAAGAATTTAAGTTAATAAAAGGCTCTATGTATCGTGAGATTAATCCAATAGCTGGTATAAAATAGTTGCTCACACTTAGGTGAGGGAGATTGGTTTTGTCTCTAAGTCTAGGTGAGGGAGATTGGTTTTGTCTCTAAGTCCTTATAAGTCATTTTACAAATGGGTAAATTTGTCTTTAAAATTTTGAAGATAAGGTGGGTGGGAAAATAGGACAGAGAGGTGGAAATAGCAGCACTCTTACCAAATGATGAAGAGAAATAATAAAAACTTACAAATGGATATAATACGTAGTAGTATTCGTGGCTATAGTTTAAACATTTACTGCTTGGGAAGAGAAGATATCAAAATTAAATAGTTGAATTCTAGTCTTGACCAAGGACTAAAATATTGATAATATCGACGAAATATCGAGGATATTATCATTTTTCGGATCTATGATATTTTGGAACATATCCATACACATATCGTATAAGTATCGATAATATCAGAAAATATCTACGTCGATAATTTTTCTCACACTTTAGCAATATTTGGCAAAAATATCGCTATAATATCACTGTAATATTGATAATATCGAGATGATGAAGACATTGAAAATTTGAAAATTTTGAAGAGTTATTTACACTAACATCCCTTGAGGTTTCTTGTGTTTTCACAAAACCCCCTAAGGTCTCAAAAATTACATGAACACCCCCTGAGGTTTCAGTTTGTTTTCACAAAACCCGTTGATTGTTTGTCCAAAAATTGATGATTTCATTGAAAAAAAAACTTATGCAAATGACAAAATTAACCTCAATGAAGTATATGCAATCTCATCTCAAAGGCCAACTCATTAAGCAAAATTCTACACGAGGAATATTCGCGGGTTGATTCCTCGACATTCGATCTTCCTTCTCTCTCTTCCTCGATCCCTACGAAATAAATAGGAGTAAATAGACCACACCAGCGAGGTATTGGCCAAAGGCCCTCCGATGCCTAAGTTAGTTCAATTGGATCTTGATAAAGATTCAACAATAGCTAAAATGGATGGAGTTTTCTCTCACAGGGAGAGTCGGGGGGCCTTAGTAGTGTATGGTGGAGCCGTGAGAGAGAGAGAGAGAGAGAGAGAGAGAGAGAGAGAGAGAGAGAGGATTTTTCTAGGGTTTTGAGTGTTGAGAGAGGAATTTAGAAATATCTTGAATGTCTTGTGTAGCCATGTATTTATAGTCTCCTTGTGTGCTAGAGTTTTGGGAGAATAATCCTTATTTGGTTATGATTATTTTTCCTTAAAAAGATTATTGGAATTACTCCAAGAGATTCAGTGGAAATTGGTTTCTTGATTTAGGGAGATATTCCTATATTAAATCAAAGATAATTTCCCTATTTATTTAATTAGGATATGTTCCCACAAATGCCCCCTAGCTTCTGCATGGCGCTTGTGAGGCATGGAGGAGATGGGAAATATTTATCGGGTTCTCCAACTGCATCTGGCCTTTCTTCTTTGAGCTGGACTCCATTTTCTAGTTGGGCTCCTAATTGGAGTAGGTTTTTCACTTCTTCTTGGGGTTGGGCTCCCAATGAGAATAGGCTTGTGATTCCTCCTTGACCTATGATTGTAAGTACAAAGCTTCTCTTCACTCATCTTCAAATTGCAAACTTGTCATCCTCTGAGAGAGATCTTGAAGTAGTGTACTGCTTGTCGACGAGAGGAATCGTTGTGCACACCAAGGTAGGTCAAACTTGTGTCTTTTTTCTTTTGTTTTTCCTTCGCGCCTAGGACCAGCTGTGTGGGCCTGGTTGGTTGTCGTCAT